TATATTGTAGATGTGCTAAATGAAGGGTATTCTTAATCGACGAGCATTTATTCGCATATGGGTGTGAAGGTGGCGTGAGAGGTGTGTCAGGATCGTGAAAAATGGAAATCCATAATCTTTACCTATCCTTACGGGTGACATTCAAATAAATGTAGTATTTACAGATAAAAGCCTTTCTAAGGTAACCGTGTCCCGCTGGTACAACAAATTTCAGATCGTTCGACTAACTTAGAGAGATAAAGAAAGAAGTGGTCGTCCTTTGACAGATGTTACGGAAGCGAACGTGCTAGTGAAAACGATAATTGAAGAGACTAGGCAAATTACGTAATAAAAAATATTGCAGACTGGAATCGGAAGCGTTTGAGATTTTACACGAACCTTCGCGTGTGTGTAGATTCACGTTAGGTGTCACACAATTACACTGATACTCTGAAGCAGGCCCACGTGGAATGGTGTGACATGATAACAAAATTTGAAGCAGACGCGTATCCCCATGCTTACGAATTTATTACAGATGATGAATATTAAATTTATCAATTCCTATCCACAAAAGAAGTGTCAATTGAAGGCTTGGTTGTTTTAAAATGAACCGACACCGACAGTGTAGGGAAGATTTTGATCGCTAGTATTTTATTGACGGGGTATTTAGTGTCAATTCCATTGCGCGTTCCAATACTCAAAACAAGGGACTTCCTGGACTGGTGCAGCGGTTAAGCATTTAATTCCCTAAAAGAAGAATTCATCTGAAAGGGATACTATTTTCATCGCCGGAAAATGCACCGGTAGCGTTCGAACAGGCCGTGGAAGAGGTGACTGAGGCGAACTGGGAAAAGTGTTTTGAAAATTCTTTCAGACGCTTGAAACTTCTACAGTTTCTGGTGGAGAGTTCTTTGAAAAGATTGAACATAAAATAATTAGAAAAGACCAAAACTAAACACTTTAATCATAGAACTTTAATACTAATATATTGCAAAACTTGTGGCCCACGTATAATAAAAACATTTTTTTTTCTAAAATTTCTTAACGAACTTACACACCTTCACCAACGTCCTGATGGTGAGTGGCTATTGCAGTCCCTGGACAACTTCATGCAGTTTGCATGCGTCGTCACATTTTAAGACTAACAAAGGACGCTTCTTAGGCTGGTATTATATTGGCTCTCTATGCGCTTCTGTCAAAGAGCAAGCAAGCTTAAACTGCTGTGTTTAAGCCTTGACTGCCTCTTTAGTCTACCTACACGTGATCGTGACGTACCAGGTTCGAATCCCGGGACGGGTCAAAATCAGTTATTGGGGTTTTCTGACAAGAAACCCTCAGAAGCAGCTCGGAGTCAGGAAGTTGGCGGTGTCTCACCCACGTGCCTCAGAAAGCACGTAAAGCCGATGGTCCTGCGCCTGATTTCTCTCCGGCCGTGTCGGTTTACCGTCCCATCGCACTATGAGAGAGAGAATATAGTGCTATGCTTGCGAATACACTCTGGCACTGTAATGTCCTGAGCAGTTGGCCAGCCTCCGTGGAGATTGGCCGCCGTGTTCGCAATTCGGTCTAGAGGACATTATTATTATTATTAGGCACATAAAATATAATTATTACTACAGTGGTTGGACTCCTCGTTGCCTAGGAGTCCGTCCGGGTAAGTACCACTCTTTTACCCCTTACACACTTTTTGAAGCCAAGTATCTGTACGCGCACTACTATATTGCGGTCTGGAGGTAACAGCACATTATATGAAACGTACAGTAGTACGACGCCTTTGATCTCGTGGTAAATGCCGACAACGTCTAGACAGCGTATGGAGGTTAGGGTTGTCACAAATTAACATAATTAATATTAATAATAATGTCGTCCAGACCGAATCTCGGTCACGGCGGCCAGCCTCAACGGAGACTAGCAATCGGCGCAGGACAGGATTATAGTGCCCAAGTGTATGCGCAAGCACAGGCGCACTCTCTATTCCCTCAGTCTCATAGTCCGATGGGTCGGTAAACCGACAGGACCGTAGAGAGATCAGACGCAGGACCAACGGCTATACGTGCTTTCCGAGGCACGGGGGTGACACACCGCCAACTTCCTGACTCCGGGCAGCTACTAAGAGTTTCTTCATGGAAAAGCTCAATAACTGATTTTTTGACCCGACCCGGGATTCAAACCCGGGACTTCATGATCAACAGTCGTAATACTACAACCACTACACTAACGAGGCAGTTAATATTATAGACTGTGGCAATAGAGAGCTAGTATAGTTATAGGCCTGAGTTATAGGCCATGAGGCATTCCATCTTAGTCCTCAGAGGTGACAATGCATCTGTATCCTTCATTGTTTGACGTTGGCTGCAGGCGTCCATGGACTTTATTTTAGTAAAAAAAAGTGATATACACTCTGTAAACACTAGGAACAAACACAAGCTAGTGATAGCGGGCTCTCGACTCCACAGAATCAGTAATTCATTCTTGGGGCAATGTATACGCTATTAAAACAATAACCCTGAAAATTTACAAGGTATTTCTATTACCAAGTTTAAATATTTAATTAAACAAAAGCTGTATAAAAAGGGTTATTATAATATAAATGAATACATGACTGATAATATCCCCTGGGAATGAGGTGGTCGCTTCCAAGCTGTTTCTAAAATAAAATTTGCAAGTAGTTTGTTAGCAATTATATTGTAAAATTTATTTAAAAAAAAGTCCCGCTGGGTTTCTTGCTGGTTCTTCGCAGGACAGAGGATTTTTTCGAACTACTGGTAAAGTAAATAATTACTTTGAATAAGAATTACTTGTAATCAATATTGAATAAAAAATATTCTATTCTATTCTATTCTATACTGCACTAGCCACTTACTATCAGGTAGACGTTTAGGTCGTTAGTCGCTTCCGTTTTACAAAGAAAATACTATTTAATAATGCGTTTCTTAGGCGCTAAAATTATTCCAATAAAACAATCTGTAATAGCCTCGGAAATAAACTCTTGACATTAAATCCTCACAATACACGAGAAAACAAAGTTAGAGCCCCGCCAGTCGAAGAAATTGTTAAACTCAATTTAAATTTTTTAATAATAAATGTGCTAAACGTTGTCAAAGAAACCGGTGCAATTAAATTTTTTATTGTTCGATTCGTAATGATTCTATGATAATGGCCTTGTACGGTGGTACTTTAGCCGGTGTTAAGTATGTATATAAAATTATCTTATGAATTAATTAGCATGAAAACTTCTTTACAGTATGTTGATGCGTCACATTATGAAGTTTTTTGAGATTTTAACGGCAGATTGACCCAGTGGCCAGAGTCGATGACGATAGTATCTCAAGGCGCCTAAGCAGATCTTATCTTGACATTCACAGAGCACTTTTATACGTGGTAGAGCCATGCTGCAACTATACTAGTAGTACAGTTGTAGCACGAATGGGTCGGCTCGACCGGTGTAGGACAAAGCTCTCACAGAATACCAGCGTAAAATAGCAGCTTAACACTGCTGTGTTTCGTATGGTCAGTGTAGAGAACCGGAGACCCTTTTTACTGGGAAAGAGGCATTCCATCTTAGTCCTGTAGGGTGACGACGTATCTGCATTTTGATTCACAAACGAGGATAGATGTAGATGTCTATGGGCCACAGCAACCACTTACCATCAGGTGGACTGTGTGCTCGTTTGTCATCCTATCCTATAAAAAACCGGCCAAGTGCGAGTCGGACTCGCGCACCGAGGGTTCCGAACAAATCCGTAGGTATATAAGTTTAAAATTATTGTAAATATTTTTATTATATGATGTAACTAAAAATTTATGCTTTTCGCAATTTTTTCTTTATCTGTGCTATAAAACGTTGCTTCGTACCAAATTTCAAGATCCTGAGTTCACGGGAAGTACCCTGTAGGTTTTGATTCCCTAGCGAATGTCGAAAATTTGCGGCATAAACGGCTGTATCTTTTGATCGCGTTGGCTTAGAAGTTTCATTTTTCACAGCTTCAAGGGACAGTAGACTTGAGTATTTGGTATGAATTTTAGCTTGATACCTCTACGCGTTTCTGAGAAAAAGGGTCTTGACAGACAGACAGACAGACAGACGGACTACAAAGTGATTCTAGAAGGGTTCCGTTTTTTACTTTTGAGGTACGGAATCCTAAAAAAAACTTTTTTCATCGTTTACCCTTATAGTTCACATGCGCAGACATTTAATATACAAAATTGCACCACTTTTACGCATAAAAAACTACTTGAAGCCATTATGTAAACAATAACATAGGAGCAGCAATCCACCGCCGGTCAAGTTCCCGCGAGTTTTTGGCGGGAACTTGACCGGCGGCGATTTGCTCCTCCTGTATTATTGTTTAAATAATGGTTTGAAGTGAACTTTGATAAGTAAAAGTGGTGCCATTTTGTGTATTAAGTGTCTGCGCATGTGAACTATTAGTGGAAACTGTGATACAACTGCTCTGATGGTGATGTGATTCTCAAAATAAGGTGTCTGTCTGCTTAGGCGCCTTGAGATACCATCGCCAACCGTCAGCTGTCTGCTGGTTCAAGTTGCCGTCAAGATCTCCCAAGGGCTGCACAATGTGACGCGTCAACATTTTGTGAAGCAGTGTACTATGAAGGATAAATATTATAATATATTGTAACTACAGGCTCAGAAGGGCTAGATCCTAGAGCCATAAAGCCAGTTATTAAGAAGAAGAAGTCAATTTCCCGCCAAAACTTTTATATAATTCCTTTCATGTTAAAATGCTGTTTGCCGAACATGAACATGTCTTTAACCTACTATCGTTATAAAATACTCTTCACAGGAACCCCCCTCTGTTTGGAAAAGAAACGGCGTAAGAGAATCCGCAGATATCCTCAATTTTAACAGTCTTTAAGGCCGAAAATACATTGTTCTTACAATAAAATACGCAATTTCGTAAAATAAAAAGTATTTCGAGCCCTAAAATCCCTTCAGAAACGAGAGGAGTCCTGTGATCAACAGCGACACTGGGACGTTTAAGGATATAATATATACTTACGTATTTAGCGATGAGGTAGATAGGATCGAGTATATGCGATGTAATTGCGAGCATTATGAGAGTAACGCCCAAAGATGTGTAAATGATAAGCTTGTCTGAAACAAATACATTTAAAGAAATTATTATTAACGTAAAGTACTAAGCAATGGTTGACGTGGTAGGGCTATTCTGCATCATGTTATTAGCTGTATATTTATTTCGGTTTATAATCTCGTGGTCTAGTGCCAGCCTTTTATAGGTACATGGGGAAATATACATGTCTACTTGGCGGGGGCAAACATGAGTTGCATGGGATTCGCGCTAAAACCTCACAGTGCATCACCTTCGCCGTATATCGGCGAGGCCGGGATCTTTCACAGCACACACTCATAACTGACCAGGCGGTCGCACATTGGCAGTCCTTTTTCGAGGGAGGACAACTCCTCCTTCTCTTTTCTCGCAACATGCCAGCCTACAAACCTACCATTTCTCATAGTTCTTCCAACCGGTATTCAGTCCGGGATCGATTCTTGGGGAATAGCAGTAGGTACTTGCTTGAGGCTCTTTACAGCCCACTCTTTCTTTGCTTCCTACGAATTCCTCTAATTTTGTTGTGTTGTCTGACAAATGTACTTCTTTGAGTACGTTATGCCGAAGCCATGGGAGCCAAGAAAACAAGTACTCAGAAACACCAATTTTCCCGACATCAGTCGTAGGAGTCGAGTCGAGGTGCCGTGGCCGATCAGTTTCCGAACTTTACCTCAGTTCAAAGGGTGGTGTAACACATCATAATACCAATATTTCTGTCCGCCCACTACGGGATAAGGCGATACCTCTCTTCCCACATCTCAGCTGCGAAGTACAGGGTGAAACTACCAATGCATTCTACCATTTAGTGTCAAGAGTAGGTTCGCCAAGCCATCTTCAGCCGGCCACTAACAACACCATACTTAACATGTTTTGTATTTAATTGTGTATAGCGGTTAAGATTATTGATAGCACATGGTAATATACCAAAATAATATAGTATAATGGTAAATATACCAAATAAAAAACCCGCTAAGCCTTTTTCTATTTCTATTTCTCTTGACGACGCCTCGTGTAGAGGCGGAATACGTGTCTTATTATCGACGTTAGTGTGTCTTTCCAAGTGTGTGGTTAGAGGTTTTTTATGCGATAGGGCCATGCTGCAGCTATATTAATAGTGTAGTTGTAAGCACAAATGGGTCGGTTCGACCGGGGAAGGACCACGTTCACACAGAATACCAGCGTAAAATAGCAGCTTAATGCTGCTATGTTTCGTATGGTGAGTGTAGGGAACCGGATACCCTTTTTATTGGAACAGACGCATTCTATTTTAGTCCTCACGGCTCATAACGCATCTGCATTTTAATTCGCAAACGATGATAGATGTAGATGTCTATGAGCCACAGCAACCACTTACCATCAGTTGGACTGTGTGCTCGTTTGTCACTCTTATTCTATAAAAAAAGGTAGTGAAGTTGGGAGGGAGTGAAACCTCTTCAAACTACGTAAGACACGTTATTTTATTTTTCGCGCAGAGCTTAGCTAAAATATTCAACAAGAGTTACTTACTTCTAGTCGCTTTTGACAGCCTATTGCATTTCTTTGCGGGCTTCATTGTTACTTTGCGCTTTCACCTGCTTAAGCTCATACTCTCTTTCTGTAAATACAAAAAAGTTAATTAAATAAACGTAGTAGAAAAATGCTGCAATTATATTATGGTTAGGTATAACTTATAACGTGGTTGAGCCATGCTGCAGCTATATTAGTAGTATAGTTATAGCACGAATGGGTCGGCTCGACCGGGGAAGGACCACGCTCTCACAGAAAACCAGCGTAAAATAGCAGCTTAACGCTGCTGTGTTTCGTATGGTGAGTGTAGAGAACCGGAGACCCTTTTTACTGGCAAAGAGGCATTCCATCTTAGTCCTCACGGGTGACAACGCATCTGCATCTTGAGTCTTTATTGATGATAGATGTAGATGTCTATGGGTCACAGTAACCACTTACCATCAGGTGGACTGTATGCTCGTTTGTCACACTATCCTATAAAAAAAAAAGGTTAGGTAGGTAGGGTCGGCTTGATCGGGGAACGGCTTCACTCTTATAGAATACCAGCGTAAAACAACACCTCAATACTGCTGTTTCGTATGGTGAGTGTACAGAATTCTAGTTCTCAGGGGTGGCAACGCATCTGAATTCAAAACAAACCTCATAGAGTTGTAGGGAAGGCCTTTGCTGCGTAGTGGGATGTTATGGGCTGATAAGGTGAGATAAGAATACATACATATAATATACATGTATGTAATAACAATGAAAATAAATACATAACTAAAATAAACGAAATAAATATTATTTTGAATATTAATGAATTTAACTTTAACCGCGGCTAAAGGTTACACGTACTATTTTTTTACTAAGTTTGTAATGAAAGGCAATAACAATGTGAGGCAAAAACTTAACAAAGTATTTAAATAAATACTTACAAAGTTTAATGAGTAAGGGTACGAAATAACAAAAAATACATAAACATGCCCAAACACAATGAATGACATTAAATTTTATTTTAGTTACGTAAATATATATAAAAAAATAACTATTCGTCAAACGAAATTCTGAATCCCATTATATCTACATTTGTTTACGTGGTGGGACTGCACCACAAATGTATTATGGTTGCATCACGAATAGGTAGACTTAAACACGGAAGGATCACGCGCTCACAGAACACGTAAAATAGCAGCTAAATGCTGCTGTGTATCGGTGAGTGTAAAGAACCAAAGACCTATTTACTGGGAGAAGAGTCATTTCCATCTTAGTCCTCAGGAGTGACAACGAATTCTGCTTTTCAAATATTAATCGAGGATATATGTAGATGTCTATGGGCCACAACATCCACTTACCATCATGTGGATTGTGTGCTCGCGTGTCACTTTAATTCTATAAAAATATCTACGCGGCAACGGATCATCGTGATATTTTGCAATGAAATTGTTTATGGACAGGGCAGTGATAGTAGTTGCTTTTTGTTCGCAATATGCACGGTTCCTGTGGGAAAGATTTAGAGCGTAAATCTATACATATGTATGCTATATTACTAATATAGTTGTAGCACGAATGAGTTGAGAGATCACGCTCTCACAGAATACCAGCGTAAAATAGCAGCTTAACGCTGCTGTGTTTCGTATGGTGAGTGTAGAGAACCGGAGACTCTTTTTACTGGAAACGAGGCATTCCATCTTAGTCGTCAAGGGTGAAAATGAATCTGCATTTTGATTCGTAATCGAGGATAGATGTCGATGTCTATGGGCCACAGCAACTACTTAACATCAGATGGACTGTGTGCTCGTTTGTCACCCTTATCCTATAAAAAAATAACACATTTTCTGTGACTATTCGCAATATCGTATTTCTACCACCACGCGGGCGAAGTCGCGGACAAAAGCTAGTAATTTAATTACAGGTAATTAAAATCATAGGTAACAGAGGTCCTGATAGTGGTCAAGGAATACTTGAATTACTTGTGATAAAACGCTGATTTTCCTTGTATTATGTCATTACGTAAGGCATTTTATGATCAAGGCTTTTTTAAATTTCAATTAATTACGATATGCTATGATTGGCGGTAAATGAGCTCGAGTGTCGATTTAACCTGGTAATTAGAATCCGTTTAAATCGATATGGTAATTGCTAGGTTTTTATTTTTAACTGAACTGACATATGAAGCAACATATACTATTTATACGTGGTAGAGACAAGCTGCAACTATATTAGTAGTATAGTTGTAGCACGAATGGGTCGGCTCAACCGGGGAAGGAACACGCTCTCACAGAATACCAGCGTGAAATGGCAGCTTGGCACTGCTGTGTTTCGTATGGTGAGTGTAGAGAACCGGAGACCCTTTTTATTGGAAAAGGGGCACTCCATCTTAATGCTCACGGGTGACAACGCATCTGCATTTTGATTCGCAAACGAGGATGGATGTGGATGTCTATGGGCCGTAGCCGACACTTACCATCAGGTGCTCGTTTGTCACCATAATATATATATATAAAAAAAACATTCCACTTGATGGTAAGTGGCTACTGTGGCCTACTCAAGTAAGGTAAGCTACAACTGCGTTGCCACCGCTCAGGGCTAAGATGGAATACTTCACAGCACGTAGTTATACTGACTATTTGTAACCTGTAGACCGGAACGCAGTCAGCAGATAGAGGTAAGAGGTTGGTCCTACTCAGACAGATTTCCGTGGAAGAACCGTGGTAGCTCATAAAGCCTCGCGTACACCTAATCCGTCATCGGCCGAAGTTTGCTCGGGCGAAGACGGCCGAACTCGGACGATAAAATCAAACACTTGTAAAAGAAAGAGAGCGCGTACACAAACACGACCGTTATCGTCCGATGACGCCCGAAATCGGCCGATCAACCGTCGAGTCCGAACTTGTTGGGATTTATCGCCCGACTGCCGGCGTCTACAGTGCGAGTTGAATGTATTTATACCTAGTTTAATTTAATAATTCTGTATTTATTCTGTTGTTTCGTGTTTTATCTACCTAAACGACTATGGATATAGAAAAATTAATTAGTTGTATTTATAATAGACCAACCCTGTGGGATAAAGATTCAAGAAACTACAATAATCGAGTTGTCCAATGTCGGCAGTACACTGTTGCAGTGTAAGCACATACACGTCCGAGTTACGGCGGCTCTTCACGTTGGCCAACACACTGGCGAATGTGTTGGCCAACAACGATGGCCATCGTGTAGAGCGGGTGTTTATGCTACCTTGGTACGTATTGGAACGATGGCCCACAAGTTGGCGCGAGACGGCGGCTCTTCACGTTGGCCAACATACTGGCGAATGTGTTGGCCAACAACGATGGGCATCGTGTAGAGCGGGTGTTTAAGCTAGGTTGGTATGTATTGGAACGATGGCCCACAAGTTGGCGCGAGTTCCGTGTTGGCGCCTCTTCACGTTGGCCAACACAGTGGCGATTGTGTTGGCAGAGTTATTGGCCAAGAAATTGTGATCGCGTCCACACGTTGGAAGGTCGTTCAGTTTGCTTCGGTGCAGGCCAATGTGCGGACGAATTTATTAAAATGATTATTGATGCGCTAACGGCTGCTGCAGTTTATTTATTCACAGCATACCACTATTTTTTTATTTAATTTTTAAACCGAAGCAAACTGAACGACCTTCCAACATGTGGACGCGATCACACTTTCTTGGCCAATAACTCTGCCAACACATTCGCCACTGTGTTGGCCAACGTGAAGAGGCGCCATTACTCTTCCGGGTAGTTCTGTCCGCCATCGGCCGACAAAATCGGTTTTGGTGTACACGTACCGTAAGGGGTTCGGTACCCGCCGGCACCAATGAAATTGTTAATTGCAATTTTGAGTGTTGATTCACCACGTGCTCGCCGGTGAAGGAAAACATCGAGAGGGAGCCTGTGTTTGAGTAATGAAACAAAAATATTTCGAAGATATGTGAAGTCCGTCACAGCAGCTGGGGTAACGCTTTGGACACTTTCTTGCTCTCAAAACCTCTCAGTAAAGAGAGGAGGCGAGACAAGGCGCCTAAGAGTGGGAACTTCATATATAGCCTATAACTTTATTTTTTTGTATGTGAATATAGAAATTATAAGTCTCTTTTTTAAATAATTTTAAAGGTACAGAAATGTAGATGTAAAAGAGAAAATCATGTGTGTACGTTGCCGTTAATACATGTGAAGTAAATTATTTAAAACACATACCCAAAATGGTTGTGTTCAGCGGTGAAGGAAAACATCGTGAAGAAACCTCCACGTCTGAGAAATATGAAGTTCGCAAACACGCATTGGGTGCAGCGCGGCGGACATTTCCTTGTCCTAAAACCTACTCAGAAATGAGAGGAGGCCTGTGCTCAGCAGTGGGACGTATATAGGCTGTAACTAACTAACTAACTAACTAACTAATTAACTAACTAACTAATTAACTAACTAACTAACTAGATAGACTTCAGCAAACAGGAAGTTTAAGTAAAGCACCTAGTAAATCAATAACACTAAATATACGTGGTAGAGCCATCAGCAGCAGCTTTATTACAGTTGTAGCACGAATTGGTCGGTCCACCGGGGTAGGACCAGGCTCTCATAGAATACAAGCGTGAAATAGCAGCTTAATGCTCCTGTGTTTCGTATTGTGAGTGTAGAGAACCGAACACCCTTTTTACTGGAAACGTGGCATTCCTTCATAGTCCTCACGGGTGACAACGCATCTACATTTTGATTCTTAATCGAGGATAGATGTAGACGTCTTCCACTTATAATCAGGTAGACTATGTGTTCGCTTGTCACCCTTATTCTATAAAAAAAAAGTAACAGCATTAGTAGCTGCTGTTAGTGTTGACACAACTACGGCGTCATGCACTCCAAACGCCACGTTACTTAGTTTATTCACTTGTCGTCAGAGGTGACAACACATCTGCATTTTTATTCTTAATCGAGAATATATAATTACCACTACTTTATATATAGAATAGAATATATAATTACCTATAAAAATGTAGGTATCTGTCACTTATTGCTAAAACTTAATAAATTAGTCCTAGACCTCAGTCTTTCAATTCTTCAACTT